TAGCGAAATTTACAGATAGTTAAATGGAGTTATCTCTTTTGAACTCTTTTCTGTCAATGCAGATCACAATCTACCTTCTCAGCCCGAGGAGAATAACGTTGGCCAGAAGCATCACCAGGAGGAATTAATCCACAAGATGGCCATGCAGCTGAGACAAATTGGGGACGGCATGGATCATAGGATGATGGTTCGAGAGGTGAGACTTCATTTTCCCCAGCAAGGGCCTGTCAGTTGGGAGGAAAGAGCAAACAGAACAGTGGCTGCCAAGTGGCTGGGATGCTCAGGAACTATCAGAACTCATGGATTAACTCGCTAACCAAACATTAGATCTAAAAGTTGTGAAGCTGAGTCAAAGCGAGCATCTGATCTCATACTTGCCTTTCAAACTGTGGTCCGTGGACTGGCAGCATCAGCATCACTTGGCAGCTGGCTAGATGTGTAAATCTCAGGCCCCAGCCCACACAGCCAGAATCAGAATGTACCTTTTTACGCTTTCCCCAGAGGATTTGTGTGCATATTAAAGTGTGAGAAAGTGCTCTACACTCTCAAAATAGGATGCATATTAGAGTCACCTTTAGAGTTTTTGCAAACTACAGATGCATGGGCCCAACCTTGAGAAATTCTGATTTCATTGGCATAAGGTAAGGCCTGGGCATCTGGCATTTTAAACACTCCCCAGGTGAATCTAACACATAGTCAGGGAGGAGAACTTGAGCCTTCAATTGTGGTTATTTCCCTTGAACCAGCCTGAAGGTTATGATGTGAGCCTTACCCCTACCAGTTTCTGAGTTTCTCCTGATTATTATAAGAGATTATAAGGGAAAATAGGAATGACTAATGGTTACTGTTTGAAATCTTGGGGGTGATAAAATCCACAGCTAGCTTAGTTTTCCCCCAGACCAGCCTGTAGTTGGCAGCAGAGAATGATCACGTGGTGCTGCATAGTAGGAGGGGTGGCTGCCCCTCAGAGCCCAACTTCTTGCCCTTAAATTCACCTGTCGTGTGATGGTGTCTTGTTAATCACTGCAGTTGTGACCATGCTATTCACCAGCATGCATGCCACAGCATGCATGCCTCTTTATACTCTGGTCCAAATGTGGAAAATACACAGCCTTTCTCTCAAATAAAACATCCCCTGAGACAAAACATGAATATGAGATCCCAACAATAATGCTATAAAAGCAAGAAGGAAACAAAGAGAAAAACACAGTCCAATGAAATATTTGATAAACCACTTTCATTCAAACAAATATTTATTGAGTGCCAGACTCAGTTCTAGACATTGGTAGCTAGAGCATTGAGCAGGACAGAGGATGAGCCTGTGCTCATAGAACTCACAATGTAGCGAGGAGACAAATGGTAAAGTAGATGAACCATCAACAGCCTAGTCAGACAGGGATGTGGGCTCAAAGCAGGATGAGGTGACAGTGATGGAGACTGACTCTGGATGGGTGGTCAGGGAAAGGCCTCTCTGGGGATGTGATATTTGAGCAGAGATTGGAAATGAGGGAGCTAGCCATGGGAACATCTGGAGTTCGTTCCAGGCAGAGGGAACAACGAGAGTGCAAAGCCTGGCCCCTTACCAGTCTACTTTCGTTTCCTTCTTTCTTTTTTTTTTTTTAAGAGACAGGGTCTAGCTCTATCACCCAGGCTAGACTGGAGTGCAGTGGTGTGATCATTGTTCACTGCAACCTTGAACTCCTGGGCTCAAGTGATCCTCCCACCTTGGCCTCCTAAAGTGCTAGGATTACAGGTGTGAGCCACCACATCTGGCCCCACCGGTCTACTTTCTGTCTTTATGGATTTGCCTATTCTGGACGTTTCATATAAGAGGAATAACACAATATGGAGTCTTTTGAATTTGGCTTATTTCACTTAACATACTGTTTTTTCAAGGTTTATCCATGTTGTAGCATGTGTCAGTACTTCATTTCTTTATATGGCTGAATATTCCTTGTATGTATTAATGTATACCACATTTTGTTTATCCATTTATCAGT